ATGATGATGCTTCATGGAAACCTTTTAAAGTAATTTCTAACAACCGTATTCACTACCAGGGCAGTCATTAACAGGTTGCTGGGAGAGAAAATAAAACCTCCTAGACTGTTTCAATACAGTCTGTACTCAATGTTATTACTATTACATCAATGCCTAGAAATGATAATGGGATGAGGGCCCTCCCCAAGCAGGCACCATGAAAAACTGTACTGAGAGGTTGCCATGAACCAGCAGACAAAGGGAGTTTCCTTACTCTTGTCTTTGTATGTGGGGAGATGAAGCATCTCACGTGCAGAGTCACCCTTGCCACAGCTGCATGGCAGCCTGTCCTTGTCCCTGGACCCAGTCCTTACCCACCCTGGGCATCCTTTTCCCCACTGGCGAGGGTGTCATGGTCCAGGCTGGAAGACAGGTACCTCCCAGTGCCTGCTCCCCCAGAACTACAACCCAAACCCCTCTATCCCTAAATCCCTCCAGTCCTCAGCAGCCCAGAGCCCACTCCTAGCACCACTGACACCACAGCCCCAAGTACTGGGTGGATCCCGAGAGGCTCCATCTGAATATCTGGCTGAGAGGCAGCAAGCCCCACGCTGATGCTGCGGACCTGTGCTTTGGGCACCTTCCCTTTCCACCATGCCAGGGCTGCCTTCACCGAGTTTTCATTGCTACAGGGCCAGGAAAGCCCCACGCCGGTGCCTCTACTCTGCAGGACACATCCCTCCTCTCCCTCCCTTGCTTCAGTTCCACACATGAATACTTTTTATTTTTTTTCCTTTTGGTATTTATTTTTTTTCTCTTTCCCATTACCCCACTAATGCAGAGCAGGGCTGCTGATTACAAAAGAGGCAGTTTGACTCCAGCAATAGGTCTTCTTCACTAATCCTCACTGTCATGGAAATTCCAGCTGCTACAAGAATAAGAGGCTCAATCCATATTTGCCAGCTCTAATATGAAATCTGTCAGGGCCCAAATTAATGAGTTCCAAATTCCTTACATCACGATAACAGGTTAAGACTGGTCAATTAATTACATAAATCCTTCCCGATTCATTGTGCATTTTCAGGCGAGATTGTGTCTTACATAACTGGGTGACACAAGGCCTTTTGGCTCTTGTTGTTCCGCAGAAAGGCCTCCATTTAAGTGCAGCCTGCCTGCCACGGAAGCTGGTAAATGTCACGCCTCGGCTTTGCGCTGGCCCCTAATTGCTTTTGTATTGAAAAAAAAAATTTTTTTTTTTTTTTAAATTATATATATTTTTTTAACATTGCGGAGCCCGGCGTTGCCGTGCCGTGGGGCGGGGCGGTGGAGGGGTTCCCCGTGGGGAGGCAGGTGCAGCCCCCCCCCACCTCACGGCTGAACCCCACTCCCCAGCGCGGTGGGCGCCTCCTTGTTTTGCCTGGTCGGGGAGCCGCGGGGCTACGGGACGGGCTTTGGGGATGTGGAAAAAAAAAACCACACAAAAAAACAAAAACAAAAAACCCC